GATTGCGAAGACCACCGTGGGATAAGTTTGATCCCGATAGTCACCAAAGTGCTAGCTTCGGTTATACTTCGACGTCTGACGCCTTTAAGAGAGACCAACATCCGTGAACAGCAAGCCGGATTCCGTCCTGGCCGTGGATGTATTGATCAGATTTTTACGTTGCGTCAGATCCTTGAGCTACGTCATACCCACCGTCGGCCAACGATCGCAGTGTTCCTTGACCTGAAAGGAGCCTTCGACTCAGTCGACCGCGGAGCTCTGATGGGCTCACCAGAGATACGTTGACCTACTGAGGTCACTGTACTCACATACCTCCGGCCGTGTAAGGGTCTACAACGAACCGAGTAGGCTGTTCGTCACCAGCAGCGGCGTTCATCAGAGGTGCCCTCTTTCGCCGTTCCTGTTCAATTTCGTCGTAGACTCAGAGGACTCCAAAACGTAGGTATTTAATGGACAGCTGAAGAAAAGCTGTGCGATTTAGAGTACGCCAATGACATCGTCTGTCTGTTCGAATGTATGGAGGACGCGCAAAGCGCACTTGATAAACTAACAAGTGCAGTAGCCACATTCGGTATGTGCTTTGCACCTTCAAAGTGCCAACTGCTGCTGCAGGACTGGGTTTCGTCTGTTCCTGCTCTGAAACTAAGTGGCCAGGATTTAGTTATGGTGGATTATTTTTCCTACTTAGGTAGTTGCATGACCAATGACAGTAGCGCAGCAAAAGAGATAACCGCCCGCATTTCCAAAGCTCGAGCAGCGTATGCAGGATTGAAATATCTTTGGCGTAGACCCGACGTTTCAATGAAGTTGAAAGGTCGTGTATATTGTGCTAGCGTTCGTTCACTTCTGCTTTATGGTTGTGAGACCTTGAATTTGGGAATAGAAGATATCCATCGACTAGAAGTTTTCAATTATCGGTGTTTACGCAGTTTAGCCCACTTTGGATGTAGCGAACGGGTTAGTAACGTTGAGGTAAGCCGTCGTGTTTGAGAGCCTATCAGGTATAAACCTGCTAGCACACCGAATTCAGA